CCAGGCCATAAGCAGAGCATGAGGTCAGAAGCGGAGCAGCCTGGATACGAACCAGCACCAGTATGGGACTCTGGCAGTATAAGGCAGAGGATTGGCTTACTACTACCATGTAGGTCCCAGACTTTAACTTTCAAATAAAAAATAAATCTTTAGAAGAAAAAAAGGAGTTAGATCAAGGAGAGTCTTTTCTTCCTGTAAAGATTTATTATTATTTTTAATTGGAAAGTCAGATTTACAGAGAGAGAGAGAATGACCTTCCATCTGCTGGTTCACTCCTCAAGTGGCCACAATGGCTGGAGCTGAGCCAATCCGGAGCCAGGAGCCAGGAGCTTCCTCTGTTTCTCCTACACAGTGCAGGGTCCCAAGGCTTTGGGCCGTCCTTGACTGCTTTCCCAGGCCACAGGCAGGGAGCTGGACGAGAAGTGGAGCCACTGGAATAGAACCAATGCCCATGTGGGATTCCTCTGTGTGCACGGCACAGACTTTAGAAGCTATGCTACCGTGCCTGGCCCAGAGTCTTTCTCCTAAATGATTCTGAAAATTTCCTGAGAGTTGGGCATTTCTGTGTTTAAAGTATTTAAATTTTTAAAATTTTATTTTCCATATATAGAATTTATTCAAGAGATTTGTGATGATTATCTTAATTAAAAAAAAACAAGACCTCCGGCAGCAGGAAAAGTGAAATTATTCAAGTTGCTTAGCATTCATTATTTAAGTTATAGTTTTTAACACAATATAGTTTTATAAAAAAAAGCTTAGCTAGTATTTCATTTATAGGGGTTGACACGTTTTGAATTTAGTTATTATTTGAATATTGACTGAGTGCTGTCAGATTATTTGAATAATTAATTAGTGTTTTACCAAGGTAGAAACTAAATCAAATGTGAGGGATTTTAATAGTTTTCATAGAGAAAAGCAAAGAGCACATTTTAATTATTGTAAAAATTTTTTAAAACCAGTAAGTACAGTATAAGCCAAACTGTGTAAGCCTGAATCTCTTTCTTTTGTTCTTTTGGAAAAATGATCTAATTGCTAGGGGCTGGTGCTGTGGTACCACCCCATGTGGCACGATGCCCTTGTGGTATGATGCCCATGTGGTACCATGCCCATGTGGTACCATGATGACCCGGCTGCTTGGACTCTGCCATCTTTGTGGAAGACCGCAATGCAGTTCCAGGTGCCGGACCCACATTTGAGACATGAATCAACCGATAGCTTTCTTTCTTTCTTTTTTTTAATCTCCCCAACTTTCTCTCTCCTCCATGTTTCAAATAAATAAGTAAAACTTTTGCAAACAAATCTAGCCACATAATATTTTGTGCTTTTCAGGTAATTTCCTTTTTTATGTGATATGTTTTTAATTCCAACTTTTGCTTTTCAAAGAGCACCTTTGGCGTTGGTTTTTACATATATTGTAAACCTCTGTGTTTTATTTATAGTTCTAGGCAGCCTGCATGTTTTCAAAAGGTTTACGATCCTGAGGGGGAGAAAAATAAAGCAGTCCCACTCAGAGATGTACAAAGAGAATTTAGAAATATTCATGGCAAAATGAACTTTTAACAGATAACTTTTTGTGTGGCGATACTTTAGAAACGCAGGCTCAGTTTTTCACAGCGCGCACGTGAAGGCTCCTGGTATGTGAGACAGGCGAAGGATGATGCGGCCGTGCAGCCTGCGACCCGCAGCAGGGACTCAGGCTCCGGCCCCGATGTGTTTCTGGGTTTTGCCAGCAGTCTGCACACAGAGGGAAATCTCGTCAGGTGAATGAGTCACCTTGTCCGTAAAACGAAAGCAGAGCGACTGCTCCGCCGGAAACCTGGGCTGAGTGGCTCAGGCTGTTCCGTATGGTTGGATTCTCTCACCTCAGGTCGGGCCAGAGCTTACACTAAATGAAGATTTGGAAGGAACCAATAAATGTATCTTTCCCCATTAAAAAAAAAAAAAGTAGTCTGCTGGACTCTTATGAAGGTTTGAGATTGAACAACCTTATCTCACTGCAGTTTTAAAATATGACGTCTCGTATGTGTTAAAATTAATACTCTGGGGCCTGGCACGGTAGCTTAGTGGCTGAAGTCTTCACCTTGCATGCACCGGGATCTCATATGGGCACTAGTTGTAATCCTGGCGGCCCTGCTTCCCATCCAGCTCCCTGCTTGTGGCCTGTGAAGGCAGTCCAGGACAGCCCAAAGGGCTTGGGACACTGCACGCGCGTGGGAAACCTGGAAGAAGCTCCTGGCTTACGTAAGCCCTTCCTGGATGTTAGGAGCAGGGCAATTGCTAAGGATGCTTCCCGCTTTAGCTTCAGCACATTGAATACAGCAGCAGTCAGGATGCTGACTCCCAGTGCTAGCTCAGTCTATCCCAACGCTGGGCCCACGGCTTTCCTTGTCAATTCGGAGGGACCAAAATTAGCTCTTGTTAGGCAGGAGCTCCGGGCCACCTCACAGCACTGGTTCTAAGTGCCAGCAAAGTGCCCTAACCCACAAAATAGCCCTGTAGTAGGTGCTGAGAGCTGCATGGTACATGGGGCCACCAGATGGCAGCAGTGTGCTCTGGATGAAATGAGCTGGGGACGGGAATTTATTCAGTTTCTCAGTAAACACTCCACTAGGTGGCAGCAACATGAAAGCAATTGAAGTGGTCGTTAATGGACTACATTAAAAAGAATTCAATCCTTCTGTTAAGTTTGACAGCAGCACAGTTTTGAAAAGCACAGTTGGAATTAGAAAATGTAATATATCTTGTGTTTTTAGGAGCTTCCAAATGCTTAATTTCATATACAAACCCAATAAAACAGTAAAGGCAAATTTATTGGGAAGAGGGGGTTGCCTTGCAAACATCCCGGGTAAGATGATTTTTTTTAAACTACATGATCATTTAGGATTTATGGAACCCCCAATTTTTTACCCCGATTTAGAAAAAAGAAGTCACTAAAAATAGAGTGGAACAAAATAGTACTTATTTATTGGCCACCTGTTAGGTGCCAAAGGTAGCCTTTAAATGCTTTAAAAACATGAATTCATTGAATCTGGATGAGCGCCCTTCATGAAAGCCCAGATTTGAATTCCAGCCTGTTTACGGCCGCCGCTGCTCTGTTTTCCATGACCTCATACTTTTTCTGCTTGAACCATTTCAACAAAGCCCATTCTGCAAGAGAAATTGGAACTGTTTGCACAGTAAGCTTGTGAGTGCAAACAAGCACGCGTTTCCTCCGTCAGTGGCTTTCCCATGTAGATGTGTAACATTAATGCAGTAAAGAGGAATAGCATCTGTACTGCTATTGTTACACTGACAGCTAAAAAAAAAATGAAGCTTATTTTAGAAGCAGCAGCAAAGTCATTTATGTTGAAGGGTAAATGATGGCATTGGAAGTAAGAATGGAGACGGGCTCAAGAGAGTGGAGAGAGACCAGGGGCTTGGCAGGGCACAAGGGCAATGCAGTGGTGCCTGGGCAGCTGGAGTCCAAGCCAGCAGCTTCCCTACTCCTTAGACTAGCTCTTCCTCTTGGCTTCGGGCAGCTTTACATGGCAGGCTCCTGCACGGCCACACGTAACCAGAACAGCACAGGGCTTTCCAGGGCAGAGACCTGACAGGCTTTGAATCTTACAGGCAACCACTGGGCACAGGAAGTGAGCAAATGGTTCCTAAGACAAGTGCCTGCTAGGAGAATGCCCACCCTCCTGGGACTCCCCAGGACCAGCACTTCTATTATTCCAGTCTAAATTGGGTTCAGATCCACGGTAGAGGAGAGGTAGAGTAAGAAATAAGAAATGAAGATGACTAAGGTAACTTTTTTGATTTTATTTTGCAGTAAAGTAGCATTTTCATATATGAAATGTCAAGTATCTTTAAGAGAAACAACAAAATGATAGCGCAGTGTCACAGTACAAAGGCTGGTCTTGGGCGAATGGGAAGGTGGGGTGGTGGTTCTGTTGCTTATATAAGATAGCCTAGGATGGAATAGTTGAAGAGCAAAGCATGGGGTAAGGGGCTGATGGAAGGAGAGAGTGCTGAGTTAATTCTCACTGTGTCCTTCAAGCAAGGTGAACTGGGGCTGCCTGTTAGCTAGCACCAACTAGAACGCAATCGCAACTAACTGAACAACTGCATTTGACAGGCCAGGCGCTGACCTTACCTGTGTTTCTGTTAAATGCTAAGGCTGGCTTTCTGCAGAAGTGCTCTCATCCCTTCTCTGTCAGAGCAGCTTGCCCAGGGCTCGCTGGTTAGCAAACGGTTAGCTAAGATTCAAACCCTGTTCTCCTTCCCTCATTCCTCTGGCACCTCTAGGGCTTCCACGAAGGCCGTGGCTGGTGATGCTTACTCACGGGTACCACCAGGGGTCACACTAGCCAGTTCAAAGGAATCAGTAAGCACAATTGGATTACATACAATTAGTTAAATAACTTCCAGTCCAAGTTTAGTGCTAATAAAATTACTACATAAAACTGGGACATTATAAACTCTTGGTAAGAAAATAAGAATCAAGTTTGAATAAAGTCTTCCCCCAAGAGTAAAACAGATTATGAATCCAAATCGCTGTCACCCAGCCACGAGCCCCTTCTGCTTAGCTGTTGAACAGAAATGACTGGCTCACACTGTTTCAATGACTACAGAAAGATGGGACAGAGTGTAGTCCACCACATTTCACAGTCAAGGGGAATGTGGCCTGAGCGTTGAGACGAAGCTGCTGATGGTCCAGGTGCTATTTTGTGCCTTAGGAAATTGTTACATTTGGGTTGTTTATTGTGGCCTTTCTGTGGTTGCACTCCCTACATGTCCTGCTTCACCGAGGACGAATCTCAAGCTGAAATTTTTACACAAATTTCATAGGACACAGTCGACACACCAGCAGATCACAGGCAATTTCCACAATTTTAAGGGATGGTTGTGTTGAACTGCACACTCCACAACACATTCACACCGAATAGCACTTTTGTCTGCAAATGTTTAGACAGATACTTTTCAGGACATTTGAAGTGGCTCTGTTGGTGACTGCTTCCTTAAGCAAAGAAAGAGCTAATAGTCACTATGGCAACCAAGATGGAGGCAACCACAAGTAAAATCAGACCCATATGGCATAGCTTGGCTCTCTTGTTGTGCTTCTTCTTTTTCTTCAGTAAGGTGTCAAAACCCGGCGTGTACATGTCTCCCAACCAAAATCGTAGGTCGTTAGGATTTTCCTGAAAGAAAAAGATGTAGAGAATTAGATCAATGAGCAAACAAGCAGTTACCGACTAGACTGCACACCGAGACCCAGTCAGGAGGGCTTCAGGTGGCTGCGTGGGCTGTCCTGCGTGAGGCTTCAGTGCTATGGCACAAGGAAGAAGTCAGGGGTCAGGCCTCACTAGCATCAAAGCTACAGCGACAGGCCCCTGGCTGATGGCGATTCCTGCAGCTCCAGGCTGTGGGTCTGCAGCAGAGCCATGGGAGCGGCCTGCAGAGTTTGTTTGTTGCTCACCTGGGAGGGTCAGAAACACACACTTGGGCTATTGTCATGGAATGTAGGTTAGTGAGCTGAGACAAAATGGAAATTTCTTGCTTTAGATGAGCCCTAGAGGTTTGTGTGTGTGTGTTTGTTTGTTTTCCTAGGAATTTCAGGAGCATATTTCTGCAGAAGGAGGTGGAAGGCTCAGGGTCAAGGTTTCCTTCCATGACTCTCTCGACCTGCTGGTCTTTTCTGCAAAAGCCTTATCACTTTTTGAACTCTTGAGGAAAAGACCCTACCTTCTTTTAGTCCCTAATTCCTCTGTGCTGTAATGAGGACCCCACACTTGCCTGAAGGCCAAATGCCACTGGTTTTCTTGAAGAGCCTGCAGATCATAGATGACGCTCTCTGACACTCTGCTTCTAACTCGGCCTTGGTGATTAAATATGGAATTGCTTTTCTCTCTATTTCGCTCCATTTTTAAAAGATTTATTCATTTTTGTTGGGGAATCAAATTTACAGAGAGAAAGATCTTCCATCTGCTGGTTCACTCCTCAAGTGGCTACAACAGCCTATGCTAAGCCAATCTGAAGCCAGGAGCCAGGAGCCCCCTTCGTGTCTCCCGTGTGTGTGCAGGGTCCCAAGGCTTTGGGCCATCTTTGACTGCTTTCACAGGCCACATACAGGAAGCTGAATGGGAAATGGAGCAACCAGGACAGGAATCGGTGCCCACATGGGATCCCAGCATGTGCAAAGCAAGGACGTTAGCCAGTAGGTTACCGTGCCAGGTCCTTCTCTTTTTCTAATATAAATTTTAGGCAATTTAGGCAAATGGGAGGCCAAAGGCACCTGGAATTTACATAACCCAAAAGTGATGTCTAGGTTTAAGAAATTAGGTTAGGGACAGTGGGTGTCAATTATGAGCTGTAGGTAGGAGTGGTGACATAGGAAGCTGAATAACTGAGGTATAGGATGAAATTCTCATGGAAATTAATATTCTGGCATCAACTTCACTCAAGAAGCTAGCACTAAAGTCCAGTATGACAACATTAGTGAACAGGCCTGGAGACTGGGTGATGTTAGTAAAATGATGCATCGGCTGTGTCCATGTCTCTGCTTCCTAAAACAACACTTAGTTGTCCAACTTATAGAAAATTATCCCTCCATGACATTAATATTCAGTTTCTTTAGTTTCAGATCTCTGTGTTTTAAGATTTAAGTATTTATTGAACTAAGAGTAACACAGGCAGAGATACATATACACATGCAGAGAAAGAGAGAGAGCGAGAGAGGAGAGAAGAGACATCTATAAGCAACAGGTTCACTACTCAAATGCCCACAACAGCTAAGCTGAGTCAGGTCAGAGTCAGAGGTGAGAATTCCTTCCAGGCCCCTCCCATAGTTAGCCCGAGCACTTGGTCCATGGTTGCTGCTTCCGGGGGGCATTAGCAGAGAGCTGGCCTGGGGCAGAGCACCGAGGACTCGAACCAGCAGCCTGAGGAGTGCTGCCACACAGCAGCTGAACTACCATGCCACAGTGCTGACCCTGCTGTTTCTTTGAGCTGAGTCATCCTCTAAACTCTTCGTAAGTTCATCTTTCATGCCGTCTTTTTGTAATCACATGCATTCCCTTTTCCCTTTTGATGGGAAGGACAGTGGTATTCGTTTCCTCCATCAGCTTGTCAGGCATGCAAACAGCCAAGGGAAGGGAAGAGGACCCAGACCAAGATTGTGCAGTAAATCAGTACTTTATTTTTAGTAGTAGATTGCTCAGAAATCCTCAGAAATACAAGGTTGGGGTGGGAAGTATAGCAGGGTAGGGAAAAGGAGTTAAAAGGGGAGAACAGGAAAAGGAAAGAAGTAAGTTGGAGGCAGTTCTGTGGTGCAGTAAGCTAAGCCACCACCTGGAGCACCAGCATCCCGAATGGATGCTCTGCTCTTCATCGAGCTCCCTGTCAATGCGTTTGGGAAAGCAGCAAAGAATAACCCAAGTCCTAGGACTCCTGTACCTACGTGGCAGACCTGGAAGAAAACCCTGGCTTGTAGCTTTGGCCTGGCCCAAGCTTTGCCTCGGTGGCCTTTGGGGAGTGAGCCAGCAGATGGGAAATCAGCTTGCTTCTCTCTCCTCTCTCTGCAACTCTGCCTTTCAAACAAATGAGATAAAAATCTTAAAACAAAAAACAAAACAAACAAAAAAACCCCACAGGATCATTGTTGCGAGGAACAACTGTCTGGAAACTTTTCTAAAAAGGCTATATTAAAGGGAAAATACATTAATCCTACCAAGAGATTAGGAAACTTCAAAGATTCTGCACAATGACGTATTTCAAGGAATACATACTTGTGATTTTGAAAAGTGTGTAGGATTGAGGAGGACCTAGTTCTTTTCTTTCCAAAAAAAAAAAAAAAACAGAGAAATCTTCAGGTGCTTAAAGTATGGGGCTTAGAAGAGATATACATCTTTAGATGAAAATTACTTAGAAAGTCTTGGGCCTTCCTCGTGCAGGCAGGTAGAGGCTAGCCAAGGCCCGGCAGGAATCCAGCCCGCTCAGAAACAGGGACCACCCTCTGTGGTATTTCTAGGTTCTTGGTGGGTGACATCAGAGGTGTTGGGGGACAGAAAGAAAAACTTAAGTTGGGTTTATGCTGGGTGAATGAGTTCATTGCATACTTTTCCTGTGTTGAAATGTTTTTGTTTTGTTTTGTTACTGAGACACAGGAAAAGGATCAAAATGTAAATCTGCAATCTTAAATCACTGAGTGGGGTTGAAGTAAAGTCATCTTAGATGAGATCGTCTTTGCATAGCGTAAGAAAGCACGCTGAGGAGATAGCTTTGTAAAAATGTGGACTGGAGAATCATCCCTTTAGTGCTCATGGATATAAACCATCATAAACTGCTGTGAACCATATGTAATCTTTTCAAAAACCTTTTGTTTCTGGAAAACCTTTGCTCTGTTTCATCATTTTTTTCCTTTCTATCCTATACGATGCCAGTAACTATTACAATTGTAAAACTCAAAACAAACATCAATTTTGACTAGGGAGGTTAGAGGGACCAAATGGCCTGAGAACTAGAATGTTTCTAAGGAAGAGGCTCCTGGTCTCCCCTCCTGTATTGATGGGGGTCACTGTTCCTGTGGGTACCTTCAAGTGTCCGGAGAGGTTCGTGTGCGAGGAATGCCTGTCGTATTCCTCAATGGTCCACGAAGGATTCTTTTTCCTGTCTTCCATTGCCTCCTCCAAGCTTAGGTCACTGTAGAGTGGATTGTTCTTCATAACTGATGTCAAGGATGGTGGTGGGCTGTCAGGAGTGACCAGGTCCTCCCGACTGCATCCTTTAGTTCCTTGAGCCACAAGGCTCTTTTTTTCTCTCTGTTAGGAGACAAAGAGACAAGGCGTCTCCTATCAATGGACCTACTCATGGTGGAAACAGCAATGTGACATAATTGTACCTGAAAATTTGCTGAGTGTGCCTAGAAACTCAACTCGTTAAGACAAAGAATGATAAAATGATTCTAGAATCTAGTTTGACCCAGAATCCTATCAGTAATGCAATACTTCTTTTTGCCTACAATTTTGATAATCTTTAAATGAATTACGTTGAACTAAAGGTGACCACAAGGACCGAAACTGAGCCAATCCAAAGTCAGGAGCCAGGAAGCTTCTTCCACGTCTCCCACATGGGGGCCGGTTCCCAAGGCTTTGGGCCGTCCTCCACTGCTTTCCCAGGCCACAAGCAGGGAGTGAGGCCACCGGGACACAAACTGGTGCCTATATGGGATCCTGGCGCATGCTAGTTAAGGACTTGAGTCACTTGGCTATCGCGCCAGGCTCCATGCTTTCAGATTTTTAAAAACATTTGTATCAAAGTATGATCTGAAGCTAGAGATGTGCAGAAATGGCAAATGCATAGCTCAGTAAACTTTCACAAACCAAATAACCTTGCATGTCCCAGCTCCTTTCTTTGGTCAAAAAGAAATTGAGATGTCATAAAGCTTGTGGATTAATATCTTAATTGTTTTATGGGACATCACGGGAGAGGAATTCCACGTTCAGATAACTTACGTTTAAAACCTTAAAACTTGGTGACCCATTTTGTTAATTTATAACAATTTTTTAAAAGTTTTATTTTCTTTTTATTGGAAAGCCAGATATACAGAGTGGAAGGTTTTCTGTCCACTGACTCCCCAAGTGACTGTGACGACATGGGAAATGGGGCCACCAGGACAGGAACTGACGCCCATATGGGATCCTGGTGCATGTGAGGCGAGGACTTTAGCCACTAGGCTACTGCTCTGGGCCTCTAATTTACAAGAATTTTTTGATGCGTTTTTCACCTACTTTAGTCTTTCTAGAGAAGATTCAATAGGAATCATATTCTAACTAATCATATTTATGCTTTCATTGATATCCCCTGCAATTCCTTCATATAAATCATACTAAATATATATTAATAAAAACTAAAGTTATAAACTGATATCATGCGTCCTTCTGAAATGGCTGGAATTAAAAAAATGATTCATAGACAAAACCATTCACATTCTGTTTGGTATTGGATTCCCCTAACTTTTTAATCCTTGCATTTTTCACATACTTAGAAATGAGCTTGGAGATCCTCTGACTTGAATAGCCTCTTAGCCTGCTTAAACTCAATTTTATTTCATTACACTTAAAGTTTGCAGTAAAATAATATATCTTTTTGACTTACCAGTTATCTTAAAGATAGATGGCTTAATAAGTATTTTTTTTTTTACTTGAACAGAAATGGTTTGATAGGAAATTTAGATTCTTTGAGCTTAGCATAATTCTGACTCTGTATTTTTTCCTCAAGCTGAGACATCTTTGATCATCTTGGAAGGAAGATAATTGTTCTGACTTTACAAATCCTCTTTGTCAGGCTTTTTGCCTGTTAAACTGTTCCGTGAGTTTCTGAAACAAAATTTTTCCTTCTATTCATGAGAAAAATACTGTTTTCTTGGGGGTGGTGATCTACGAAAATAATTACAAGTTCTAGTATAATTTAAATAGGTTTTAAAAACTTAAATACAAATAGTAGGAGGCTAATCATAGATACATTCTTAAAAAATCCCTTCAAGCGTGTGCTGTTACTTTTAGATTATATTCCTGAAAAATTTGAGGGTCTCATAGAAAATGAGGTCATTTATTTTTGTTTTATCAATTTTTTGTCTGAATGAAAGCAAAATAGTATAGTTTTATCGGGAATTTGATGGTAGGATCAAAATGTTAGTTATGATTGGAGTTCATTTGCATTTTTGATAAATTTTCAGGAAGCTTTAGAAAAAAGTGCAGTGCACATCCATTGTAGCCCTCCACTCTATATCCTAGGTAGAATACATTGATCAGATCATGGCATTATTCTATTCACATTTCTTTAAACTAATTCCTTCAAAAACGCTTAAGAAAGTGACACTTTAAAGCTTACCTAGACTTCTCTGTATAAACCATTACTTTGATCATTTATCCTGTATACAATTTAATTATTATACTCTGTGTGTGCACATAAACTACCATTTAATGAATATAGCAAGATAGAAGGCATAGTTAAGCAAATAGAAACCAAGAGTACACAATTAAAAGGTCATTGAAGAAAGAATCTCTAAAAAACATACCTTAGGAATGAGAAAATTCATGGCAGAAAGGAAGATTGAAAATTAATGCTGCACAGAAAAAAAAGAGAAAGAAAAGAAAATTGATAAATGAATGTGCATACACAAGTAGCTATTCATTTTATTAGAAAATAGAACTAGTGAAATTATTAATTTGTGAGTTATAAAATAAGACAAAACTAAAACACTACACAATAACACTTTTGGTACAGACATTCTTGATTAGGAAACTAGCAAACCATTCCGGTGAGGGAATAAAGATGTCACTGAAAAAAAGGAAGGAATGTGTAACTTCTCAATCAGGAGGGCAATAGAGAAAGGGATAAAGCAAAGTTGATCAAACTTTAAGAAAACTAGTAAAATGAACTAATATAGGGTTAGCTATCTTAGGAAAACAAAAAGACAAACCTTGTGAATCATCACATTAAATGTAAATGAACTAACATCTTTATTTGAAAAACATTGTCAGATTACATTTTTTGCTTTTAATCTGTATGTTTTTAATGATTGAGTTAGTTGGAAGATAAGAGAGAAGGAGAGCCAGAGAAAAAGATCTTCTACTGTGTCACTGCACAAATGACCTCAATGACGGGCTAAGTTGATGGGAAGCTGGGCCTAGGACTCCATTCAGGTCTCCCCTGTGATGAAAAGAGGCCTAAATACCCAGACCATCATCTGCTGCTTTCATGGTAGCCTTAGCAGGGAGCTGGATCAGAAGTAAAGAATTCTGGACCCAAGCCAGCATCCCAATAAGAGATATAGCACACGCAACAGCTTAAGTCACTGCACCTTAATGCCAGCCCCAGACAGATTAATTAAATATTTACCAAAACTACCTAAAATAACAACCAAGGAAGCATGAGAGTAAAACAATGTTAGATTGGGGTCAGTGGTTTACAGTCAATGCCATGGAGACAAAATTAACAGAAATCACTTCTGATACTGGCTGCTGAAATTCTCCACAAGAGCATGGCCCATATTCCCTCACGTGCTTTCGTGGTGACCCTGTAAACCATGATTTTGAGATGACACAGGTCTAAGGTAACCCAAAGCCCTGGAAAACGACATTTCTTCCCTCTATCCCCCACCAAACCCATCTTCTCTTTCTCTGAGTTTTCATGAGCAAAGTTTATATATTTTTCATTGTGGCTGCCAATATTCTATGGGATTTTAAGCAAGCTGGCTGAGACTAGCTGATTCTCCCTAATATGGAAGGTAGTTATCTTGAACCTGCAAATAGGTGGCATTTGGATTGATAAGCAAGAAATGGATGAGTCTGAAAGGGGTTTTCAAGGTTGAGATGGTAATTATTTCCTCTTGTGCAGTGGAGAGAGAATAGTTGGTCTGTCATTTGTGGTAACTTGGCAGGTAGTCACATGTAGTATCATAATAAGTATTTATAAATCATCAGAGCATTTATACTTATAACAATATTAAATCATTTCTGTAATCCAGGAAAGGACTAAGATTACTGAAAGTACTAGACAGTTTATAAAAAGAAAGGAAGGAACTGAGGAAGAATTCAGACCCTGGATGCCTTCTGGTGTTGAAATGCTGAGTGTGCACCCTAAACATTAAACCTAGAATTGTTTTTTAAATAGAAAAGCATTTTGAGAAAAACTCTAGTACAATCTCAGGTGCATGGAGTGAATTGGGACAGATATCCCCTGGAAGGTACAGTTTTGCATTTTAAATAGCCTCCGGGTGACTGACAAAAGTAGAGACTGAAACATACAGTAAGAAAGACTGTTTGAGAGATATATTGGCATAAATATGGTATATTTTTTGGTGTGTAAAATAGACTTGAACTAAATAGATCCGATTGCATTAGTAGAGTTTAGTGAACTTAGTAGGAAGTCGACTACCAAAAAAGATTACCCCTGAAAACTTGATTGTTTGAAATTAAAACCTAAACAACCACCACCATAGACATCTAAATATTCATATGTAGGGACAAACTTTGAAACCTACACAACCATGAAGGATGACCTATTTCTAATGTGCCAGATGGAAATAATAAGCTATACAAATAGTGCAATCCTTATCATGATCATAATGCAGAAAAGCATTTTCACGGATTCATGTCTAGATGCACAAACTTTCTGAAAATGAGCTCACCACTGACTCCAGTAATTACATATTCCAGATTACCAGAATGATTTTTTATTTAGAAATCACAGATTTGATCATGTGATTTCTTGCTTAAAACTTTGCAGTCAGCTCTGAAATTTATAGGATGTAATTTAAAATTTCACAACAAACTCATGGGTTCTTATGGTATGACCCTGTATTCTATCTTTCCCAACATGCTACCAAGGATTTGTAGCCTTGTAAATGATATTGCAAGATGTCTTTAAGACAGATTTTAGTGCCAGAGGCACAGAAAGGAGAGACGTTAAAATCTAAGAGATAATGAGTATTAAGATTGAAAAATAGTGAAGAATGGGGATTAAGAAAAGAATCCATTAAATGATATTGCCTGGAAATCAAGGTAAGGAAGGTCTCTCATCCTGACTTTTTAGTCCAGCTCTCAAGTTTAACCTGGAAAGCTCCTAGGCTCTGAGACAGATATAAAGGAAGACAGGAAAAGATGCAATAAAGATGTCAGTCTAGAAGATTCTAAATCTAATCAGGAAACAAAGCCCTCCCCAATACCTGTAAAAACATATTTTTTTCACTTAAAGCGGTTATGAAAAATACTGGGAAGATAATTCTAAATGCCTTTATCAAATATATGTCACAAATAATTTTAATATCCAGAAACATTAGAAATTTTGAGATTGTTTAATTTGTTGAACTGGTATAAAATTTATTAGCAAAATTCCTCTAGTGAAATTTCTCTCTGCATATATGGGACCTTATCTTGCTTCTACTTCCTGACTTCCCTGGGAAGTTAATGCTGACATTTCTAGGCTGTATGGAATTGTGTTAGTTCTTACAGACATGGCTAAGAGCATTTCTTTTGAAAATGCAATATGAATTTTTAAAAAACAAAATTAGATGACCATTGACACAAGAATGATACTTATAAGGACTTTGTTTTGATATTTGGGCTCAAGGAGGTCTCTGACTGTTGAGCCATCAGTTTGAAGGCAATGTTGTTAGACTAAATTCTTTGACATTGTGTTAAAGTAGTCTGCATCACAAATAAAATGCTCACAGGTCATGTGGCACCAAAAGATCAGTTGACACAAGTTTGAACTTTGTATGTGAGTAATAAAATCTACTTGTTGGGTTAGCCACACAATATGACAAATATATTGAGTATATTTCCCCGAACACCACACAAACACACACACACACACGTACACACACATGTGTGCATGCATGCAAAAGGACACTGTCCATTCATAATAGCTACAAAATAATGGGAGTGGTGCTATTTGTTATTTCCTAAATAACATAATAAAGGGATAATTTAAACACATGTTGGACTACTAGTTAATAATAATAACACATACACACCTAACCTTCATTCATACCTCTCGCTCTTCCAGGAAATTTCCTGTCAATTGCTTTCACCTTATGTTTTGTTTTCTCTCACTTTAGATAAACATAAAGAATGATTATTATCATAATTTTACAAATGAAAATAATGAGACACAAGCTGATTAATGCCCTTGGCAGATATCAAACTGTTTCACTGCGGATTTTAAACAATAATCAATTTTCTGACTCTATTACATATTTTTTCCCATGGGCCTAATGGCATCCCTAAACAATAAGAGTTTTAAAATAAGGTTTACTTGACTTGGTGTTTGCCACATCATTTATGCTTCAATAGACAGAATATCCAGTGTCAAATGACAAATATTTATAATAGTTGCATCTTCATTTCTTTCGGTAATTTTTTTCTTCAATGAATATATTAACTGCTGATTTGACAATCCACCCAAGAGGGAAAAATTACATAATAATATATGCCAAAGTGAAGTGGAATATAATTGCTGTTACTCATGGTTTGTGCCAGTTCGACTCAATTGCCTGAAGTTGTACTTGCTTTACTGCAACTGTGTGTGCTGTTGCACTCATAAATTGGCCTTCATTAAGGTACTCAGCATTTCTTTCTTGGAATAATCAAAATATTTATCTGAGTTTTAAAATTGATAGTAGCATATATTCAAAGATGTAAGAGTGAAGTTTACATCCTCGATTTTCCCTTTTGTAACTGTCTTACCTCAATAAGGTCTATAGGAAAATCTGCCTTTTAAAAACTTGCATTTCATTCAGGTTTAGGGACAACATTCATTGGAGTTCAAACTGTAGAGTTCCACATGAAGGAAGTAGGCCCAATCCAGGACCAAACAAATGATGTTAGATCGACATGTTCCAATCTCAAAAGAATCTATTGGATACGTTTTCTGAGATTAAAGTACATAGTATAGAGGGCCAAGGTTTTTGAACTGACTTTTTAATCATCTTATTCAATGATTTAAGCAAAAACCAGGGGAAAAATGGAATTTCATCTTATTTGAAATTAAAGAAAATGCGAAAAGCTCTATGAAGTACTGGGAAATGTGGAAGGCAGAAGGGTTTGAGGATTACAAAAGCAAAGCATGTAACAGTAAAAGAAAAAAAAATCAAGTTGTCATAATAGGCTGTCTTACAATGGAAATAAATTAAAACCCTTATAGGTGGAGGAAACACTTACATAATCATTTGAGTGTACTTGATTTTGAATGATCTCATAATCAAGGTCCCAAGGAGCCCACAAACACACCACAGAGGAGTCACTTTACACCAAGACTCTTGAGTAGCAACTGTTCTTAAAAAGAAAACAAATTTCTGTTCAGGGAATTTGAACCACTCCAAAGGATTTAATGGCTTGCAGGGCTTTGTGCGTCAGTCACTTCTTGCTCTGAAATGAAATGTTCCTCTTCCTGCTTCCACGTCGACTAACCCTCAACCCCATTAACCTTCACATCTTAAAACAAAGATCATTCCTGTTTCATTAGCTGTACAACAGTCAGGGCCTTTATGTTTATTGCGGTACCTGGAACTCATCAAGGTTTAGGCTTCCTTTTGTTCCCCCACACCCCAAAAAGATGGTAGATGCAAAAGGAGAACAAGACAAACACAACCTGCGTTACAGCTGTGTGCCCTGTCTGTGGGACACCTGTGGAAGCAGTGCCAGCGCCTTTCCAAGATGGAGAATTCCTCTTTTTTTTTTCCCTCTTTCAAACACTAGATTTCCATTGTTTGGCTATCTCAGTCTCCTCTGCAGACAAAGAGAGCTAATCTAAATAAAGCAGAGAGAAGCAGTCAGCCTCCTGGGAGGTTCACACACACACACCACGTCATCTTCCCACACTTCATGTTTAGACCTGACAGAAAGATATGATTTCCCCCTTTCTTTCTAAAAGCCTTATTTGCCAATAAAACAATTAGTTTGAAGGATTATGAAGGAAAGGAATAAAATAAGGACCAAGAAATTTAAGATGAAGGCAGGCAGGGGAACGCGAGAGTGGGAGACTGCATATTTTATAAGGAAATTAGAGGAAGGTATTTCAGAAGACAACAGTCACCTTGTCTTCATTTCCTTACAGCCTTGTTATTATTATTATTTTGGCACAAATAATGAAATGGCAGATCGTACAAAACAAGCAACCTCCCCTCCCCCACAGTTCTTTGCCCACAGAGCTTACCTGTGAGTAAACAAGGTTTTGCCAGTGCTGTGCAGCTGGATAATATCCTCCCGGAAATCTCGCGAGGCTGGCCTGCAGAAGGGCCGGGCTCCTCATTAAAGACTTCACATCAAGCTGCAGGAATTTGTCAGGATGGTTGTTATTGGGCAAAACAGAGAGATCCATGTCTCCCTTCGACCACAGAGGGAACACGAAGGCAGGCGGAGCTGCTCCTGTCAGGCCCCTCCATTATTAATGAGCCCGAGGATACAGCGACTGCCATCTGAAGCCAGGGGCTCTCGCTGAGCTCGGAAGCCACTCTGGAAATGACACGTCAACGCACAGGAACAAAGTGGCAGAGCAGCACACTGCTGTACCTTGCACACGTTCACACACAGGCCGTGCACTGAGGGCACTTGAATGGACCCATGGGGCTACATTCATCAAAATTAATTGGATGAGAACATTAAGCATGTGTACCACTTAATGTCTTTCCGTTCAGAGTCGGAAATAAGAGCTCGAGGGGGAACTGTTGTTTGGATAAAAGCTGCCAGGATCGCAATGTTCCAATCCATCCCTGGAAGCACGAGAAGCAGTCACCTGTTGAGAGGCTTAGCTTGATTTTCTCTTTGAACATGGCTGAACTAAACTGACTGCAATGGCCTGGGCAGCCTCACACGTGATAAGCAGTATCTTGTTCCGTTTTTATGTTTTGACTCCCAGGGCCTCCATCATGTGAAACCTCCCCATGGGTTCAGGTTGTCAGCTCCTTCTGAGTGCAGCAATGGCAAAAGTTTGCCTTGTAACTCACCATAGTAATTTAATATCCCAAACTCCTATCTTGACCCTTCACTATAGCAGCTTCCTTTGACTGTTCTTAGATGTACCAAGGAGTTTCAAAAACTTATAAGTAAATTTATTTTGGCATTAAAACAATCAAAATCTATGCCTAGGTTTTTTTTTAAAACATGCATTTTACATGAACGTTTTGACGGCCCCCCTCGCACCCCCAGAAGCTCTTAAAGTTGGTGTTCACACAGCATGTTTGGAAGCAAAGGAAAGCATGGTTGCTATGGATCTGGGTGATGTGCAGTCCTAAGTGGACCCAGCTGCTGCGAGAGCCTCCGTGTGGGTGAGGCTGTAGACAGTGTCTTCAGCCAGCAAATGATGATGACAGTGCAGATCCGCTCTCTATCCAGGCCGCTCTGCTTTAGGCGTCTTCTCGCAGGGAAAGCGTGAATTTCCATCTGCAGGAAAAGAAAGCTTGTGGGAGGTGACAGAAACATCAAGAGTTTCCAGAAGGCACAGATTGCTGTTTCTGCACGTCTGCTACGGCTCTTTAATTCAGCAACAATGTTTACCTTTCAAGGTGGCAGAGTCATGTGTGGAATGGATCCAGTGATTTCAGAAGAGGTCCCTACAACTTACAAAAATCGATAGCCAAGATGGTCTTGAACTGAGTGAAGCACTGGAGAGTACTTGCCTTTTTTATGGCAAAAAGCATGAGGCAGTATGTTTAAAAAATTTGCCTCACTGGTAGTTGCAGTGACTGAATTAAGTTTCCGTCTTCTATAACAACTTTCGGAGGCAAAGATTATCATGGTCTTATGATGTTCACAATATATTTGAGGTATTTTATAAATCTACTTAATAGAGAAAGTAAAAGGTACTACACACCACAGTAACACAGCAGTTAAACCGGAAGTATGCAATGCCACTACTGGTTAATCCTCCACCTGCAAGTGCTGGCATTCATATGGGGGCTGGTTCATGTCCTGATGGTCTACTTTCTATCCACTTCCCTGCGTATGGCCTGGGGAGGCAATAGAGGATGGCCCAAATGCTTGGGACCCTGAGTCCACAGGGGAAACATGGAAGAGGCTCCTGTCTCCTGGCTTTGCATCAGCTCAGCTCCAGCCATTGGCTGACATTTGGGAAGTGAACCAGAAAATAGAAGATTTTTTCTCTCTGTCTTTCTCTCTGTAAGTACACCTTTCCAATAAAATAAACCAAATCTTTAAAAAAAAAAAAAAGACAAACCAAGTGTTCACAAATCAAGTATCTTATGTGTATGTACGTAGGATTTTCTAGATTGCTCTGGCCTCTGCCAGAATATATCTAATGAGCAAATATTTCTTAGTCAGCTTGCTTTTCCTGAGAGGTTCTTTGGAGAATAATACACATCTTCAAGCAGAACCTTGCTTGTCCTTGCCTGTCTGTGTTGACAAGTGAACAGAAGCCAGATCCAAATGTACTTGTTTAGGCCTTGTCCTTAGCCAAAGGACAAAGTAGGTGAAGTGCGCCTCCAGTTTTCCTCAGGCATCTTTCCTTTAGATTGTCCCACCATGCTGGTCCTGGATGCCCAGCGGCAAACGTATCCCAGGCTCACGGTTCTCCCATGCCTTTGCCTGCCCCTCCCTCAGTCATTTCTTCACCTTCATGTAACCTACATGAATGACCATGAGGAAATCAAGTCTTACACACCGTCACCCCTCTGCTATACTTCTGCCTAGAGACAGTCCTTCCTACAGCTGTGGGTTATCCACTAGTCTCCTTCATGTGCCATGACTGATGTTGGACCTTCCACAAAATCTTTACATATTTTCTTCGTAGTCTTCATTGTTAATTGTCTTTCAGGCTTTTAAAGGGTCTCTACAGTGATGATGCTTTACAAAACACCAGCTCTGTTGTTTGACCCCTTCTGTATGAGTCATATCTGAAGACCATAATGAAATCCTGTGTTAAGTAAATGAGGAGTGCTGTTATGTACTCTGATCTCTCACGACACAATTGATAAAACAATCACATTAAAAAAAAGGCATGGTGACTTCTTTGTTCCACACTGTGTTTCAATCATTGTCAATGAAGAAGGAGGCTCCATTGCCAAGAATTACATGCCTTAGTTTCTTGTTTGGTGGTGTATAGTATAAAGAATTCTGCTTAAATTCCAGCAGTTTCAAAATTCATTTGATCACAACACAATTATCTTAGTTTTCCTATTAATTCTTTAAAATACTTAAGAATACTTGGACAAACACTGGCACACTGGCTTAGGTTTCCATTCCATTCAATAGTGACAAAGAGTATAAATATGCAAAATATAACAGTGCTTTAAAAAGGGCATGAAAATTAGGTCTAAAATATAAGTTTATTTTACTGAAATCCATGCATAGTGTTTTTCTTAAAATCTACATTTTCCACAAACTTTTTAAAGCACCCTAATGAAGAATATATTGGGGACACCCCTAATCAGAGTGCAGATATTTGAAGGACACAACAGTTGGTCCTGTTTGTCGTCTGAACCATAACACTTGGAGAACTAGAATCAAACACAAGCCCACTAGGTAGAGCTGTCTTACATATTAATTCACCTTCTTTCCCTGATTTTTTTCTCATCCTTTCTTCTTCCTTTAATCCTTTTTGTCTCCCCTTCTCCCCTTCATTCTTTCTTCTTTCTCCAGTTCAAAAGGATTTTGAAAAACAACTGATATGTCTGCAAGTGTTTCCAGCAAAAAAGGATGTACAATTTTCAAATGAGCAGTTGGAAGCTCACTAATTATCTAAGAGAGTGTGAACATTATTTGGGTTGTTTGGATTAGAAAGCAAGCCTGTGATGAAGCACTATGAATACTTAAGATATACGACGAAGCCCTTTCAAAGTTGGCAAGAAAAGGAATATAACAGGGTAACTGAATGCAATGAATTTGGAGTTGGCTGGCTTTATGACAGTCAACTGGATTGAATTCTTGGAAATGTTACTGAATCTTTCAGATCTTCGGTTTCCTTGACTATAAAGTGAGGTTAGGAAATATACATTGAAAGGTTCCATGATAGGTATCATGATTAAGGCAAAGTGTGGCATATACTAAAAGCTCTAAAATAGTGTAGTTTATTTTAATAGCAAAACATGTTTCAGTTACTTGTGATAAAAGGAAATGTGCCACTGCTTTTTCCAGGCCATAAGCAGGGAGCTGGAGCAGCTGGAACTTGGACCAGCACCCATAAGGGATGCTGGACTTTACAGACTGAGGATTGGCCAGTTAAGCCATCAAGTTAGCCTCTGAAATAAAACCTTTTAAATTGCAGTAGTCATGTTCTCAGGTCCTATTTTCATTACCTGATGTGTTTTCTAAAGTCATATTCCAACTTAAGTCTTATTTGAAAAGGGGTATATGTCAAAGGAATTACAAGATTTTGCCAGTTCATTGTGTACATGGGATCTTTGTTAAGGGGTTAGGCTAGAAGGAGTATAGTGCTGATTTATTTATTCTTTTTTTACACATATGAGAGTACTGGAGAGACTGAATCCAGAGGTTTTGGAATCAAGGTGTTATTTCATTGGATTGGGAAAACCAGTCTTAATGGTGGCCTACATAGGGCAAGGTTGAGATTCCAGAACTTCCTTGTTATAATGAAGTACACAAGAAGGTATGCAAATGTTTAGGGAGTTTGGTTTGACTGATTTTGTACTCATCCACCTCTAATTGCTCCCTGCCAAAAGTTGCAGATGTCATTTCACCAATCTTTTGTAGATTATGTTGGACAAGACCCCATTGATATCCTTAAAGAAATCTGTATTAACTACCCTCTCAAAGCCAAAAAAAAAAATTATTAAGTGTAGTTTGGGATTAGATTGAATGAGGATGAGGAAATTCACAAGAATAGATGTCAAATGTAAAAATTTAAACTCCAGAATGCATGTATGCATTTTTACTAAGATGGGCAGTGGATTCAATATGGCAAAGGGGATCACTGCAGTTTGAATCTTAGCGTACCCTCAGAAACTGTAGGTTGGCACCCAATATCCAATGTAACTGTATCAGGAGATAGGAACTGGTTAGATTATAAGGACAAAACTCTCAATAGAATTAGTAGAATTAGTGCTCTTATTAGAAACAAAAAAAAAAAGGTAGTGGGATTTTTCTTACCTGCTTTACCACGTGTGGGTACAGAGAAGGCACCCTCTGAGAGGAACAAGCCCTCACCAGACCCCAAATCTTGGGTGGCATCTTAATCTTTGTATTTTCAGTCCACAGTACTGTGTGTAATACATTTCTATTGGTTATAAGTTACCCAACCTGAAATTCCGTATTGCAATGATTCCATTTGCAAAAAAAAAATGTTTTTGGTATTGGCCAATCATGGAATTATGGAAATTCAACTGCCTTTCTTATTAGGGAAGCACTGTATCTCTATATCTAGTGTATAGGATGTGATTTAAATCACCATACCAGAGAGTTGCAGTCTCTTTGCCTATTCTCACGGGAAAGCCAGTTCAGAAAATCAGATTTCCTTGAATAAGGGAGGTCTATTCTCTTTGAGGAAGGGTGCTAACACCCTATCAAAATCCATATTGTAATGTACCTCCTGTTCTTCTTTAGAAAGATTATTGAGTATTAACAGAGTAAGTGGGTGGAGGGGAAATGATCACATTCCCATACAACCTGCATTACCATTACAATTGAGTTCCCTGTGCACGGATTTTCTGGGAAGATCATCAAGTGTATGAAATTATTCTTCGGCAGATTCTGAAGACATGAGTTGCACGAGGCACTAGTTGTGGCTGTTAACAGGCATGTTATTGGTTCAGTGCCTTCTCCCACTTAACCCATCTGTAAAATCTTAACAAGCACTTCTCATGATTGACTGATATCAAAAACATTCTGATTTCTTAGCACCACAAGAAGTGATTAACCCAACAAAAGTGACCCCAAGTGAGACTAAAGGGGAAAATCCCCTTGGTTAAAAAACAATCTGAACCCTACATTGACCGAAATGGCCACAGGCATGATATGTAGTAACTCATAGGCTATAGCTAACGATTTTGCAGGCATGTGGGAGGAGCATGATATGAAAACAGGTGACAAAGAAAAACTTTGAAGAGTTGCTAAATTTCATTGAACCAGGTGCCAGAAAACATCCTCATTGCCAGTTACCAGGGGAATAAGATGACATCTTTTGACAGTGCTTGCCAGTCTTTTTGTTTGTTTGTTTGTTTTGTTTATTTACTTTTACTGGAAAGGTAGATTTACAGATAAAAAGAGAGACAAAGATTCTCTCTCCAGTGGTTCACTCCCCAGATGGTCACAATGACAATTTTATCCTTTGATCCATGAGCACAAGAATAAAGTAAACAGCAGTGACTGGAGCAGAGATTATGGACCTGCCTAGCAATACGGATTTCCTAACCAAGGCCAGTCAGGCTGCAGTTACAGCTGGGTGTTTAATCTTACAATACTAACAAAGACACTACATCCCCAGTGTGGCACCAGAGGACCAGAGGGCCACTAGACTTCCAGTTGATTACGTTGAGCTACTTCTAGCACCCTACTCACCCAACCCCCTCAACATGCAGAGACTTGTTCTTGGAGATATACCCTGAATATGGATTTGCCTTCCAAGACTACAGTACTTCTGCCAAAATGTCCATCTGTGGACTTAAGACATGTCTCATTCTCTGTTGTGTTTCACATAATATTTTCTTCAGCGAACTTGTTTAACAGCAAATGAAAGGTGGCAATGGGTTCATACTCCTGTAAACCTCTGTGATCAAAGTCCCCAAGACCCTGAAGCAGATGACCTAACAGAAATATGCAATGCCACTTGTAAAGATCAAAACCCACCAACCAGCTGGGTAAAAACATTTTGGAAGCCTGGGATAATAAACAAGCTCTAATATGTATTATATTCAGAAATACTGGTCATTTTCTTTTGATATCACTATTTCTACATAGATTCATGTACCCATGAATCAAAGGATAGAATTCGGATACTCCATTCTTACTGTTTCATTTTTTTTTCCCCTTTTCTCCTTTGCTGTGATTTAAAGTAAGATGTTATTGGATAATCTTCCTCATAAGAATAAGAAGACTTTGAAGTAAGAGAAAATATAAAACAGAAGATGTTTGAAATAAGTGAAGAGAAACGAAGGTGAACTATTCATGAGTCAAGTGTCAGCTTACCCCCTGCTGGTGATCCATGGTTAGCCTAATTTTTTCAGAGCAAAAGACACCAGACTCCTGCTTTAGAGGCACAAGACTTTATTACTCTCAGGGTAATAGCAGTGGCCAGAGAATCTGCATTTTTCTTTCACTAGTTCCCTGAGCCCCAATTCCCAACGGGTGATATCAAAAGAGGCCAGTGATCCCTGCACATGCCATCAGCTGTGTTATAAGAAAGGAATTCCAATTTTAAGGAATCTGAAACTTTTAGGACAAATATGCATGTTTCCTTTTCCCTTTAATAAAGACACTATTTCCATCTTCTGAGGTGTTCCCTTATGCAAACATTCTTCAAAAGATCCTCCAGAACAAAAGGAGACAGTGCCTCTACTTGCCAGACGCTCCACAGTACGAAAGATCCATGAAGAACTGTTTCTCATGGGCATGTTTCACATGTTTTTATTGAAAAAAAAATCTAAGAAATCATTTGAATCATGTACAATATTTTCTCACAAGGAAAATTTTCAGCTGGCTTTTGAACGTTTCACAGACTTGTAAAACATTTTAATTTTTAAAAGAAAAAAAAACACAATGAAACTACCACAGTGGTATACACTTTTTGTTTTTCTTTGTTCCTACGGAGAAGGCTGAAAAAGATTTAGTGAATTTTATTATTATGATTTGTAAGGCTATGTATTCTACTCTTTCATAAATCTGCTAGAACAATATAAAGAAATGCATGGAACAATGCCTTCTTCATTCAAAATATTTAAAAAAGCTAAAATCTAATGGCAACATGTAATAAAACAACTTTTTTTGTAGGTTGTTACCATTTCTATAATGGTTTTTCTACACTATATCAACAGTGCAATGGTGATTCAGTGTAAATCATTACAGTGTTTCATTGTTACAATACTTGTGTTCAAGTACATGTTCATGAACATGATCAAAGTCTCTGTTTTTTACTTTTGTCTTCCATTAATAATATAAGATTACAATTACAGTAGGATGTTTCAAAAAATGTCTCTAAATCTGAACAAAATTCATATTACATTCTCAAAGAAACTGGTTCAACACTAAGAGGTTTGGTATCTGTATGCACCTGCAGATCACAGCAAATGAGTTAACTCTGCGGCAGGACTCCAAAAACCAAGTATAATTTTCCTCCATATAGAACTAAGCTATTATGCTAAGTCAGTATATGTTCTGGGTAACTCACTGGGTGTGGTAGGAAAAGAGTAGCACCTTAGAGAGAGTCCTAACTCAACAGACATATATTTTTTTAAAAGTGTTTTAGTTTTCCTTTTGAGATGACAGGATCCAAGTTATTGTATTCATATAAACATATATATGAGCCATATAGTATAAATCAAAATGTTTGTATAACCAAGACAAACAACACACTGGATGTTTGGCATGGGAAAAGAAATAAATTAATTTGATTAAATTATATGTAATCTGATAATATTTGGTCTGAAAAACATGCGTGTGTGTGTGTGTGTGTATGTGTGTGTTTATAAATAACATAATTGCAAAGAGCCGCGAGCCAGCCAGCCAGCCAGCCAGAGGTCAGCTCTTCTGCTGCAGCTTTTGAGCATAGAAGTCCCTGCACGTCTCACAGCAACGCTGATACCACCGCATGTCCTGACACAAATTCTTCTCGCGGATCACTCGGCAGTACACTGGCCACTGATCTCCCAGGCACTTGAAAGTCAGAGCAGCTGCAAAACAGAACAGAGCGAGTTCAGTGCATCTAGATCTCGCAGCTGTCAGCACAGAGATTCTCATAATTTACGTGTCCATGTGTGTGCAGGGAAGGGCTTGTACACTGGCTGTGACTTTCACACACGCACGTAGTGTAATCAAGAAAGAAAGCAAAGGAGTAATGCTCTTACTGTGATCCTTTTTGGTAGAAATATTCTCTTGATTCAATGTGCTGCCCCTTAAAGTTTCAGCTTTATGGTTTTATTTTAAACTTCTTTGGGCTTTGAATAGAGGTTTACATGTAAAAAAAAGTGCTTGATTCATCTAATTTAATGGGAATTGAAATAAATATTGCGTATGAAATTTCAAACAAATAGCAAAACTAAAATGTGCATATACTTAGATGAGCCTGTTGGTTTCCTACATGGCTCACATTTCAGGAGATAGTGATTTCAACTCTCTGAAATCCAAGCTGGTTATCACCCGTGACTACAGTGTATGGCAATAAAGTGCTTGCGTTGGAAACCTTGAGTAGAAAATTTGGACACATAGCCTTGAGTTTTTTTAAAGAAATAATTGTCTTCTGGCATGTGTAATACAAGGCCATCCTGCTAACAACTCTTTCTTCTGCCATCCTTCTAACAGGATTCCTTAGTTTGCTTTTTACAAAACAAATGTTATAACCATGTCCTTCTATGTTTAGCGGTGTATCTTCAAGGAATAACAAATTGGGAAAACGCATTTTTAAGGCGATTGCTCTCTTAATTCTGTATTTTCTGCCATGCTGCACTCCCAGGAGTCCAAGTAATTGTTGGAGAAAAGGATTATCTTGTTTGAATGCATGGATTTGGTGCATCTACTCAAGGATTGCTTAACTTCTTGTCTTAATTGGTTTTATTCTACTTGAGCTGATTACTTCTTAGAAATGTTAATTACTTGGCTCAACTAAAAGGCTTTCTGTATTTCTGTGAAGAACCAAAGTTTTCCATTTAATTTAAACCTATTCCAAAAAAAGTACATATGATAATTTAGTTCCTTGCATTTTAGCAATGGTTATTTTGTGTGATTTAAATGATTCCCACAGGTCAGAACTAAGAGAATTAGGTATAAATCAACCCATGGACAGCTAGGTAGGAATGCTATTAAGAGCAATTAGCTGACATTGAAATAAAGGCTTTTTGAAACTGAAAATTCATGCTGTATTTTGTTAGAAAACATTATCTGCTTCTTGATGGACTAAATAACAGGAATTGAGAATAAATAATTTATTTCTTGATGATAGATAAAATTGAGAATAAATGCAAAAGCATTTTATAACATGGCCCATATGCTATTGTCCATGTTATCACTAATATTCAGTATTTAGTTAATACTATATTCCCTCTTGTTCAATGGTATATATTCATGTGTCCATTCTTCATGAACGTCATTTTTAATGGTGTTTATTTCTCAAGGAAAACTTGTGCCCAAGGCCAAAAAAAAAAAAAGCTTAACCATGAAGAGCTCTCAACTTCACCTCCAACAGACATTAGCTTAATTAATAATTCTGCCATGGCCCAGTATGATTTGGTTTTCCATCCTTTACAAGGTGTTCTTGAGTCATGTGGCATTAGTTTTCCCTTCAGGAATTCAAAGCAGTTTAGTCTTTGGAATTTTACTACCCACTTGACCTATATTTAAATGGATTCAATTCAATCAAAACCAAACTAGTCAGTCTAGCTTCACTATGGCTAAGCATTAAATTGATACGCAAAATAGTGGATGCCATTAGTATTCTCGTGTGTCTTGAAACCATTCCCACGTTTGTCTTCTTACCCAGTCTGGGTGATGTTATCGTATTTACGTTAATCTTCTCATTGCAGGGCTGAAGGTGGCATGGCCTGTAGGCCGCAGGCTTTTCTGAAGAAAAACACTCATTTCCATGTCTTCCTGTGATCTTATGCATGCACTGAATGACACGGGACTGCATTCCTTTGCCACAGGTAACTGAACACTAGGAAAGATAAAAGATTTGCTCAAAATTTTCCATCTGGTACCATCCTAGGCTCTGAATCACCTTCCTAAAATCAAGCATAAGCCACTACATAAATATCCTTTATCAGGACTCGTTTGGGTTCTTTTTAGGTTCATTTGTACCTACAAGACAAAGCACCGACTCAGTAATCTCTGTGCAATTGCTCTTCTCGTTTCTATAATTAATGATGCTCATAGTGTCATTCCTTGCAAAATACTTTATATCTTTTAAAAAACTCAACCTCAGATTCACGTCTTCCTCAAAGGGTTCCCTACCATCTCAACTCTGTATGCATATTTTTATAATATTTATCATATAAACCATATACCATAGTTTGGGGTTATGCTTTATAACCATGTGCAAGATTAAAGAAATAAGTATTAAGGATGAAAAGTTCTAAGTAATGTCACATAAAATGCAGGAATCTGCATTTTAAAACAAGCATCTTGCCAGTTGTACTGTGCCATCAGCGAGAATTCCGAAAGCAGTGATCAAAGTAAGTTCTTTCTGTTTGATATGCACTATTTTGTATCGCTTCTTATCCTTCAAAGTTGTTTTGATGTACTTACTTAATCTCTTCAATAGATGGTAAATAAAATTAGGCACATTGTTCTATGATGTCCAATAAGACATTCAGTTTTCATGTGTTGGTAGTAAAAATAGCTTTCAACAAAGTGAAAAATTTCATATACAAGTAATTAACATGAATCACAATTGAGTTTTACTTTATGTTTCTGTATAATTGTCTCTGCATAAGTGATGAATGCTTATCTTTCTATACAAGGACAACTAGTATTATATTCCTTGAAGTGACTTTTTTCTCTTTAATTTCTACAAGATTGCAACGATTTCCAGTTCAGTGAAAGCTTTATTATAATTTTAAAACACTTATTAGAGAAAAGGTTTTTGACATGACCTGCCAGCCATAATCTTCATAACATATATTCAATAAATACAATTACATAAGGACATTATGCATCTTAGAAAAGTATTTTCAGGAAAGTACAAATATGCTAAAACTTCTATAAGGTTATTAGTCTATTAAAATATTAGCATTTTCTTAAATTTCTGTAGTTCTTAAAAGCAAGTACAATATTTGAGATACCAAAGGAATAATAGAAAGTTGAGAATTAAATCACTCTAGTGTTAGGTAGAAGAGTCTCAATTGGGTTTAAATAACCACAGTGATCAGTCATAGATGATTCTTGGTACTGTTCATCCATCTTACAGAACAGATTCCTGAAGAACATGAACAAACTGAAGCAACACACACTTTCCTGGGGGATCATCAAAAATAAAATAGCTATAAACAGGATAAAGCAGCATAGTAGCAGATAATAGCTGTATAATGACAGAATTGGAAAACTTAAAAAAAGTTACATTCCTTAAACAAATTAGCTTTTGTCACTATTTGAGTGTATCCCAGAAATAAATATATTATCCATGAAATAACAGAAGTGCTATAATTCATTTTATTACAGTTATAAAAACCATCATTTGTCAACCAACAGACTGGGCTTCATTAGTTAATTATCTGACAACCTTAGAATATGATTTTCATCAGAATACTTATTAATAAAAATCTTTTAGTAATAATTATTTTCTGTATGCAATATATTGTAGGCAGAACGGGAAGCATTTAGCCCAGTGGTTGAGGTGTCCACATGCCATCCAGGAGTACAGGCATTCCTAAACAAGCTTTGACTCCTGACTACAGCTTCCCACTAATGCCAATCCTGGGAGGGAGCAAGGATTGCTCAAGTGATCGGAAAGGGAACAATCTCAATGTTTCAACCTTTCTCTCTTTCTCTTTACCCTACCATCCCTCTATATCCTCTCCATGTGTTTCTCTGCCTTTCAAGTAAATACATTTTAAACAGTGTTAAGAAGATAAATATTGGTTAATATTCTTTTATAAAGATGAACAAATGTTTGAAATGGAACAAGTGGAATCCCCAATTATCTTTTGAGGTAGTTATTACATTAATTGTAGAAGACAGTACAAATTAATTGGATATTTTCTCAAATGAATTCACTCTAATTAAAGACAGACAACAGAATAAAAAGCCAAAATAATTCTAATTTGAAAGTTGGAGAGTTGGCTTCTGTTAGTGCCTCTAGCAACTACTTTACTTGGGATTTTTTCTTATCTTTTTGTCAAGCAAGGCACTGCAGCAGTATATAGTCTCAATTACCATGGAAATAAAAATTCCAAATAAATATTAAATGTTAGTACAATTTGACATATTTTTAAATAGTAAAGGTACAAAAAAACTTCATTAACTATTCTTTTATTCTTAACAATGTTATGTCAGAAACTTGGACAGTATAAAAGTTGGACCAGCATTGTGGCACAGAGGGTTACACCACTGCCTATGATGCTGGCATCCCATATGAGCACCAATTTGAGACCTGACTACTCCACATCCAACCTGGACACCTGCTAATGTATCCAGGAAAGCAGCAGAGGCTGGCCCACGTTCTTGAGCCTGTGCCAATCACATGGGAGACATGCATAAGTATTAGGCTCCTGGATTTGGCCTGGCTAGTCTTGGACAATTTGGGAAGTGAAGCAATGGATGAAAGATCTCTCCATTTCTCCATTTCTGTCTGCCTGTCTGCCTGCCTGCCTGTCTCACTCTGCCTTTGAAAAGAACAAGTAAATAAATATTTTTAAAGGTATAAACTATCAAAATCATATTTTGCTTGGATAGCTTCAAATTTATAACATTTTTTTCATATATTTATTACTCTTTCATTATATTCAGATTCCTGGCAGAAAACAAAATTTTAAAAAGTAGGGAAAACATATAATATGAATATGGTCTTAAATGTGATAAACCTTACTAACAAATGCAACAGCATAAAAAGAAAGCATACCCCTAAATAAGTTTGCATGTTTGCATGTACTTTGAGCCAACCGTCCAATATTTAAAAGATCAGCTGCTGTAGAAAGCCACTTTTTGCCTCTGTGGGATCAAAGGAAACTAACAATGCTACTTTTGAAAGACTTTCCTCTGTACACTACAAACAGTTACTTGCATTTATTGGTGTTTATTATGTATCAGATACTGTGTGAAATGTTATATTTAGTGCCTCACATGAAATCCACATGGCACTATTAATATCCTCTTAAACAGAAGAGAAAATTGAATCTCAAGTAAGCAAAATTGCTTAAAATCTAACAGCTAAGAAGTGCTAATACTGGAGTTTGAACTTAAACATGTGAATTCAGAATTTGAATGCTTGACTACTACTTGATTATAGAGGACTACTAACGTTCCTCCTAGCAACAGGTAAAAACCTCACTTCCTCTATCCGACCAGATTAATCATTTATCTTCCTATGTTATAATTAACTAAGTACTGAAGTAGAATGACTCATAGTTTCCTTTTTGGCATAAGTCAGTCCATGTGAGATAGAACATTTTGCCTCTTTCTAATCTGAGGAAAACACATTCCTGCCACTGTTCTCTGAACTTTATGGAGATTTTAGTCTCCATGGGTTCTTAGATCCTTTTGTATGCTAATTTTGATAATTTTACTCTCATGTATTCAACAATTACACTGTTTTCTACATTTAACTTGAATGAACAAGCATGCTTCAGTTGTGACACTAAAACTTACACTTTTCTCTTGTGAAAAATAGAATCTTGATGCTTCTCAAAGTGAACATGAAAGCAATAACTATTTTAAAATATTGTGCTAAAACTATCATGACAGTTTTTAACCTTAGCAAAAGAGCTCAAAGCAATAAAGAACATTTTTTGTTACAATGAAATACTTCCCAAATTGACAGTCTGATATTTTTGCTTCATTCTATAAATTTGAAAATATGGATTGAAATACTGATTAAATTTACCTAGAAACCATTGCTATATAAAGTATATTTATTCACTGTTACAATCTGAAGAAATATGTGACATCGAACATGAGGCTAAACAAATTCCACAACATGCTTTTGATACTGAAATTCTAAGGTAAAATCACAAATTTATCAATATGTAATTTCCATATTTCCACACTTCAGCTCTTTCAAGCTGAAAATCCTTTAAAAGGTTATCTTAAGGACTTTAACAAAGGCAGAGAACCCAATGATGAAAGTACTATTGTAAAGTATTTATTTAAAGTTTTGTTAGACAAGAAGAAAAACCACACTATACGTTTTTTTTTTTTAATTCTTAAAATATATGCAGTGTATTTAGGGGTTAAAAATAATAATTCTCAAACTTGGCCAGCACAAAGATTACCCGAGATTCCTTACTTCTAGACAGTGCCAAAGATATATATTTTGGAGAGAATGAATATTCTCCAGGCCAACAGCTAAGGAAGGCTCTGTAATGCTTTACTCATTTCCAGCTGGCCACTATGAGAAATAGGAATTCCTAAATTAAGGGAAAATTGTCACTGGCAGAGCTCAAGTGTTTTTTTTCAACTAACGTAACAGATAATCTTACAAAACCTGATATAATCTCTAACAATAAGTGCCAATCTCTAATAAGGTTAATAGTATAAACTTGGGTAATTTCTCTTTGGGAATAAATGGATTATTCCAAAGTGGTTTAACAAGAGTGAAGTAGCATTCACAGTGGTGAGTGGACCTCATAAAGAAACTAAACTATGATTTCTACTGGAAATTATTAGCCCAACATTCCTATTCATTTATGTATATGTTTGGCAGTTCTACTTTTCAACCTTTTAATAAAGTGAGTGTGAAACAAGTATACTAAAGAACAAAAGTTAGGTTTGTTTTTAAGATTTCCTATTTATTTTGGTCACAGTTTTGGCATCTTTTTAAAGCACTCTGCTTTATTTAGCACATTGTTATTTGGAACTGAATTCAATAATAGGCTTCAGATATTTGAGAATTTTTCTCTCCCTCTGTGTATTTGAGTATGTGTAATTAATTTTTCTCATACTACAATATTTTTTAAACAAAATTGTCTGTATATAATTAGAGCAAATCAAATGTTTGTAGAA